CACGTAGCTGAAGTTGTGTACCTTAGTTCGATTTGGGGGTTTAGTGTAGACCAAGCCTTAGACTAACAATATTGGTGTTTGAGACAGCAAAGATTAGTATCAGATGTTGACTACCACCAACTTGGAAGCTAAGATCCCAGTCCCTGCTTTGTTGCACCTACTTGTGCAGTAAAATTCTTTTTTGATGATCCACCCTCAGATTTTGAGAGCTAGTTCTCCTCCCTCTTACATCTGCTGCTGAGCTCTTGGTTGTATAGATGCACTGTACATCTGAGTTCCTTGATCCTCTGACATAGGCTCAAAGTCCTCTGTTTTTACAGATGGTGGCCTCTTTAACCTCATTTCATTCCCTTAGCACCACTGTTCGCATAAGTTTATTTATCTAAGTGTGGAAATAAGCAAAGTTTACTTCTTTTCTTCCTCAGAGTGAAGTAGCTTCTGGCCTCCCTAGATAACAAGAGATTCATGCTCTTATAATGCTTATTCTGTTTTCATATGGACTTTATTGTTTTCATTTTTAAAGTACAGTGATCTACATTTAGACAAAACAAAGTAAAATATAGCACCACATAGCTAATGCCATGTTCACATATACCTACAACCAGATGCAGGCAGAGAACTCCTGCTATATGGTAAGATACCAAGACAGTGCACTCTAAAAGCAAAAAGATGTTGAAACGGAGAGGAAAAACAACCGAAAAACAGGGTATCAGAGTGATGATAGGTGACAGTACCTACAAAGTTAAATCAAGACTTAAGATGTAGTAGACAACATTATTAACTACCTCAAACTAGTTAGCAGGAAAATGTAGTATTGGATCGAGTTATATTATATAATGAAATGGTACTATATTAGTCACATATTAGGTACATACAACTTTCTACTGTAGATGATAGTGTCTTGTCTTCATCTATCTTAAGGGCCTAAGAGTTCCAAGTTGAGGTGGTTGGAAATTTTCTGACAAAACCAAGTTTTTTTGAAAAATGCTGATTTGTTGAACCAGAAATTTCTTGTGACAGTCAGTCAGGTTTGACAAACTTGCTGAGTCATGGACAGAATTCCCTGACAGATCAACAGCAGGGAGCCTTGCTGTGCAAGCTACTCCAGGTCTGGGGACTCTGGGACATAGGGACCACAGTGCCAGATTAGCTAGCCACTCAGACTGAACCCAAGTCCTGAGTTTCAGCCAGCTCTAGTTCCATATTTGCTTATCAACTTAGTGAGAGAAGGTCTCTTCTAGTTGGCCCAAATTTCTCCATCCTCTGTAGAGAATTAAACCATTGCATTCACAGAACGGGCACGGTGAAACCCAGCTTGACTTGGAAATGGGTGACACAACCAATATGTCCTGCCTACTCTGTGCAAAGCAATTGTTACCATTAACATCTATGGATATGTATAGCCAGGAACAATTCTTGCCAGGTGTCTGGCTGCTGTGTAGACATACCCCAAGTGACAGAGGCTCCTTGGCAAAGGGTCATTGGAAACAACTCTCACTTCAGACCTGACAAACTCGTCTTGCAGAATATTTATCTATAAAGAGTAACATTAAGGTATCTACAGAAGGCACATAACTTGTCAAGACTCAATCATTGCAAGAAGCCTGGATAGATAATATATAAGGAATAACATATTAAAGTTGAACATATGCTTTATGGACTTGGAGTAAAAATTAGTCACCAGGGTAATGTGTGTTGGAGATGGCCTATTCAAGCAACAGGAGTTATTACCCCTCCCTAGTCAGCTGCTGATGTAATACAAGGTTCTATTGTCTAGCTTTGCTACACCATGAACTGTCAATGGAAAACCATCAAAGAAACTTGTAAATAATCAAAACCACTTGGAGGTGAAAAGGAACATAATAGCAGGCAGGAGATTGCCTTGGCTATGAACAAAGGCAAAAGGTTGTTTCAGTATAACAGAGTGTAGAGAAAGGAAACCTCTTAAGGAGCTGAGGGGGGTGGGGGGGAGCTCATGAATGTTTGGATCTTGGTCCTTGTGAAACCAGTTAGTTCTGCAACAGACTGAACTTGGGGAGGGGGGGGAATTACTTTATTATAAAGGAAAGGAGACTATTGATAAGTGTACACTTATCATTTGCATTTTATTATTTTGTTTTGTGTTGTAACAATTTTCTTCCATCACTTCTCTCTTATTTCTAGTTCAATCTTCATTCTTTATTATACAACCCTACTTTTGTTTCACTAAAAGTGCTCACAAATGCTGTGTGGTTTACAGAAGTGGTGGTTTAAGGTAAAACAGATAAATTGG